CTGTCAAACACATCCCAAGCCTGGCCACAGTGGTGAGTTCTGGGGACAGCAGTGTGCTCCATACATGCCTGGGAAGGACTTCAGGATGGCTACCCCCACCTGGCAGCACTGATTGCTGGTTTCAAGTGCTTCCTGCCCCCTGCTTTGCCACCAACACGCTGAATTACAGTGCATTTATTGATGAATCCCTCCTTTCCCAGTAGCACCTGGGCATCATGCAGCAGCAGCAGCAGCAGGTATTGCTGCAAGACCAGACACTTTTCCTGGAATAGATCTAAGGTAGTTCTCTCTCTCTAAGCAACTACTAAAGAGAACGCAGTCAGTGGTTCAGTGAGCAGTGGCTTACCCTGGAGGCAGAGTGAACCCAGGCTTGCGAAGGGATATGTCAGAACAGTCCCTTCAGGCTGTCTCCCAGGTCACTCTTTGCCCAGCATTCACTGTGGCAATGTCTGTGCTGCAGACAGAGGGACGACTGCAGGACACAGCCCTATAGTCTAGTTAGTTCAGGGCTTTGTGGGGCGTACAAGCCTGTCTGGAAACACAAGTAATTCAGGGGATAGCCCATGCTGGAGCCTTAGTCTCCATGGCCTCATGGAACTCAAGCCAGCTAGAGTGAGACTAGCTCAGCTGTGCCTGGACATATGCAGTGGGTTCTCCCCTGCTTGCAGCACAAATGCAGCTTACGTTCCTCAAACCAGAAGCTCTTATCTCTTAGTTTCAGGGCCCAGTCTGTTTCCTCTTTCTTCCTTCTCTCCGCTCTAAATCCCACCTGGCCAGAGCTCTGTAGTCACCCTCCTGGAGCTGCTGATCGGCCGGGTTTGCAGCTTCTCCGTGATCTCCAGTTTGCATTAATAAAGCAGGTCTGCACCACAGGCAGCCTGAGGTCATCCAGCTGCTGGTCGCACCCATCTGGGAAATCTTACTCTCTATTTGTGGGGGTTAGGAGGAGGGCACTGAATATTGCAGACTACTTGCCTCAGGGTCTTCATGTCCTTGTTGGAGGGAGGAGGGAAATGGATGTATTAGCAGGAGTTGGTTATTCCCAGCTTGAGCAGATTTCAAAGCCCTTTGCTGTGATGCCAACACCTAGCTCCACAGCACCTGTGGAGAGGAGGGCTGCAGCCAGCAGGGACTGACCTTCACACAGGCTGCCCTATATCTTCTGAGGCTCCTTCCATGTCCCCACTGGATCCATGACTGCTCAGTGGCCTTGTGATAGTATTAGCTTGTACTGTAGCTGCTTTCACTGCTTGCTGCGACACTCTCTAGGGAGGTGCAGTGCTGTTCTCTCCTTTTTGTTGCTTTGGGTCTCTCAGGAAAGTAAGAGCCTGAGGCAATCCAGGAGGAAAATAAGCCATATCTGGCAAGCAAATGTGCATACATGCATCACAAGCATACAGTGTGGCATGTCATGCTCCAGGGAAGAACCACTTCTATGCTTAGTGCCCAAATACACCCAGGACCTGATTTTCAGAATGGGTAAGGTTCTCTCAGCCATGTTTGAAACCCAGCTGCTTCTAGCACAGCTGAGTGCAGAATGGATGGAGAAATCCACCCACTCTTTTTCCTGTGTACCAATTGCCCACAAATGGGTTGCAAGATTTTCAGATGGTTTTTGTTCAAAATTATTCACAATGTTCTCCAGCTGGTAATTTCTAGTCCATCACACTCAAACCTAATATTTGCATCTAAAGATTTGCACAGTATGGACTCAGTGAAGCCAAGTTTCTGTTCCCTCAGTGAATGGCTATGTAACCCACGGACATAGGGAATGTTTCAAACAACCTACTTGATTGTAAAACTCAGCATTTACATGATGTTGGTTAGCTCTATGATTAATCCCAGTCAAGGAGCAAAAGCAATGTCATGTACATTATGGAACTAAACAGCAACATGGATACCAAATTGTATTTTGTGTTGTATCTAGACCGCTTGCCTTTCAAACTGTGCAAACTGTACAATTCCCAGGTACAACTGGCAAATATGAAACCAAAAGAAAAAGTGTTCTTTTGTTGTGTCCTCCAGCCAGGAAATCTCAGGCAGGCAAAAGTTTATGGATAGCGGATAGGTGGCTAGATGCATGTAAATCAGGTTTCCCTTTTGAATGGGCAGTGCTCCTGGTAAGGAAGCTTTCCCTCTTCACTCAGGTTTTGTATCGGATCTCCAGATTTGTGATGTTCTGGGTATTGTCTGAAGTGTGCGTGTGTTTCTGTGAGGACTCCAGATAATAAAATGAGCTTCTGTGCTAAGCAGTTGGAAACTTGGCAAACACAGTCATTCTAGCCTTATTTTTCCCCCGTTTTAACTGTATCTAGTTGGGTGTGAGCTGAAATAGTCATGTTGGACTTGAATAGAAATGTTCTGTTGTCTGTAAGTCTGTAACAGCTGTGACCAAAACCCATCTGGTCCCACAGATCCTGGTTAAAACGATGATCAGGAAGCGCTCGTTTGGGAACCCATTTGAGGGGAGCAAGAGAGAAGAACGATCGCTGTCTGCCCCTGGGAACATGCTGACGTAAGTGTCTTCATCTCTGTGAGGGTTGGCACCAGGTAGATGGCTACAGTGCGTGAGTTTTGTTTTTAAAATGTCCTGCCCCAGGGTGTGAACTGGTACCCTATATACATGTTGTCTCATTCTTCCTCCCAGAGGAGCAGCAGCAACGGAAGTGATTCCAGTAAGTTGCAGTTACTTGCTCAACTCTGCAGCTGAACATGGTGCTCTGGCATTCAGTCAGAGAGAAACTAAGTCCTTTCCTCCCAAGAACCTGCAGGAACCAGAGTGAGCCCAAGCCAAATGGCTCTTTATAGACGTATATAGTGGCAGCACACGGTGATTAGGGGCCACATTCTCGGAGGCACCTGAGCTCCCACAGGAGACTGTGGGAACTGCAGGTGCATCAGAGGCTCAGGATTTGACCTGGCTGTTACCAGGCTTACTATGTCAGCATCACTAATCCTCCTTCTCCAAGCTGGGGTTTAACAGCCAAACCTGCGGGGCCTGATCCTGCATGGTGCTGAGCACCCTCCATTCCACTCTCCCTGCCCTGCAGGTGACACCCAGCCCCTTGCAGGTTGTGTCCTGTGTGTAGAATTTCCCCTCTGAACTGGTGCATGCACCAGGCCTGCTAACTCTGGTGTATCCTTCAGTACTTGAGCATCCCACAGGGAGAGAGCTTCGTAACGGTAGCCCAGGGAAGCCCACACCAAAATGTCCCTGGAAACTGGAACTTGCTCATGAACAGGGTCAAGACTGATTTCTTCGTGGACACATGGTCTATACTGCTACCGGCTGCTGGGACCCCTGGAAAGCCAGCACAGCTGAGACCTGCGCGAGCAGACTCAAGTCCTTTTTTCACTCCTCTCATTGAGGGGAAGCAGCCTTGGATGCTGCTGTCATCTCCTCTACTCCATGCTCATTCTGACCTCCCCTTTTCCCTCCCTCAATTCTAGAAAAAACAAATCGAGAAATTTGAAAAATTGCATCAGTCAAAGGTAAAATCCTGTTCCCTAGCAACACTGCCTGCCTGGCCTTCATCTGCACAACAAGAGCTTGGGGGCCTTCATAGATAATGTGTGATGCAGTGCAAGAGAAGCTCTTGTCTCTGGGCCAGTTTCCCTTCATCCTCCTAAGCTGCCTGTGGAACGAGTTATAGTTATGAGTTGAGGGAGCTTGTTCCTGGGGTGTAACAGGGTAGTCACTGCAAGAGAATGTGGAATCTGGGGTGGTCTGTTCACCAGCACAGACCTGAACACGCTCCTCAATTGCACTTGTTCCATCCAGTGAAGCCCAGAAGCTCTGGAAAATTGCATTGTAATGGGATGGTCCTGGCAAGCACTAATGGAGCTTTCTTGGAGTGAATCATGCATTATTAGAAACTGGAGCAGTGGGGAGGGTGAATAACAAAAGTTCTTCTGGCTGCCTGCCTTGACTGATGGCCATGCATGAAGTCCTCTTCTGTAAGAGGAAATGCCCTTATATGCATCTCCTGGCTAAAATGTAGCACGGTCAGCTCCAGTAATGGGGGACACGCACTGAATAATGCCAGTAAACTCCATGGGCAGATGGGAGGTGTGTGCAGCTTTCTGTATCCATGGCAGTTACAAAAGACTCTTACTCTCTAGAACTAAAGTTTTACTTCAGGGAACTGCTAGTGAGAGCAGCTTCACGCTAAACCCATGCTAATAAATGAAAACTAACACTGGCCTCTGCTATTCCCTCCTCTTCCTTGTTTGAAGCAGATTTTTTCCCTGTTGGACTTGTTCCATTTATAACAGGACCCCAAATGGCTTCTTTCATAGTCCAGGAGTGGAATCCAGTCCCACTGAAGTCAAAACATGTGCCATGCTTGTGACTTCAGTGTGCTGCATTTATAACTGGGGTGGGGGTGGAGGTGAGACCTTTCTGTTGGGATAAACCAGGCTAGCAAAATAGTAACACACACCAATATGGAGAGAGACGATTTACTGCCATGTTTGAGTCACTGCAAACCTCACGTGCTGGCAGATTCATTGTGGGTCACTTCCAAGTTGCGATACAAAGACCGTGTCCTTGGATCCTCTGTTGCCATTGTCTGGCAATGGGAGGATTGTCATTGCTTTAGTCCCCCAGAGCAGCCTAGGTATTGGGTTGGTTTCTCTATAAACCTCAGCCCCAAGTCTTGCAGGATCCAGTCTCCAATTTGAAAGTCTCCAGCAGTTGCCTGATGAAAATACTGCTGCTGGGTAGGGCACCAGTATGACACTGGCTTTCCCCATTCCCTTTTCTCCCTCTGTCAGTATGGAAAGAGGTGTGTTTGTGCGATGTGACTCCCCCCCACTCCCCAGTCTGGTACATGTTTGATTACAGGAAGCTCAGCTGAATGATGCATTTGAGCTAGATACTTTCTGTAGCTCTTTTCTCTCCTGGGCACATCTGGAATGTGAGCAAACAAACCTCTGAGGATCCACAGGACAGCAGACTCGCACCAGCCCCTCTGCTGCGGTTTGTTCCACAGGGACCATGGCCACCTGCCCAGAGGGACTGATCGTGGCCTGTGCCCCAGCTGTAGAAGTCCCAGAGAGCCCTGTTTGGAGACATGAAGTGGCAATTAAGTTGTGTTGGCCTTGTGCTGGGCTTTGGCGCAGGGGCAAATTTCCCCCATGTGAGTGAGTCCTGCTGACTTCAGCTGGAGTCTTTGTGTGGAAAATGTCTTGATCAGGCCCCTATTGTGTACTATTAATAGGAGTACACACATTTTCTCAGCCTTTGTCTCCTATCCTGAATTGCAACTGGCAATCTGACACCCAACACTTGCTCATGTTCATGATGTCTTTTTATTGGTGCCTTTTTTGTCGTTCTGTAACAGATTCTTTATTGTTCACGTGTTTTTGTTAGCAAGCTCCCTTCCCATCCATCACTGATAAGACTGGTAGCAATTGCCAGATGCAGCAGATAAAATAGACCCCACAGACCCTGGTTAAAACAGTCACATGAAGTGTCAGCTGGCTAAACTGTGCGAGTAGAGAGGCAATCTGTGTTCTGTCTTGGCATATATTTGACATAGAATTTGAGTTTTATGTGGTCCAGAAACTTTTCCATGCTCTTTTTCCCAGCTTACCTGCAGCCCTGAGCTAACCTGCAGTCTTTTGCATGAGGCTGCATCTGTGTGCAATATGAGCTAACCCAATTTCTGCATCTTGCAGGTGTCTTGGGTTACTCTTATAGCAGTTTGGATAAGAATTAGAATCTTACCTAACTGTCTTTACTTATTTGGAGGATTTAGCCCTTAAGGAACACACCAAGGTGGTGTGATGTTGTGCAGTGTGGTATAACTCCTGTTCTAGTTTAGAAATGGTTCCTGATGCACTGAGAACATACTGGGTATTTTTATTGTATAAACTGTTTAATTTTTAGGGAGACTGAAATGCTTTGTGTTCATTCAAAGCAGGAAGCAAGGCAGTGAAGATCATCTGAAGTGCAATGATTTGCCAAACGTGGGAGAGGAAGAAGTTCTTTCATGAAAAACAGCCTCGTGGTTACGATGAGCAGCTTTGTCCACGGCACCTGACGCAGTGTGCACCTGAGACTGGGAGACGTAACCACACCTAAGCCAAATGAAGCATGACATAGCAGCGGTCCAGTATAATGCTGAGTGTCAACTTTACATAGCAGCATGTGAGAAATCAGACTACAGCACATGTCATAAACATTGAACATCTGAGTGTTAAAAAAGTCACCTCACTGAAGCGCGGTGGATTTCTTGTGTGAAATGTGTTGGCTGACATCAGAAAGGTGAGCTGATGTGAAGGACAGTGAAAGGGTTCACAAATGACAAACCAGTGCAGTTGTAACAGCTTTTAAGTGGTGTGAATGCCAGCTATTCAGTGACTAATCCCCATGTTACATGGGTATGTTACACCCCTAGATACAAGGTGGGCATGCGTAAGTGTGAAGCTTTTGCAAAGTGGCAGACACGGCAGTGAATTTAGAATTATGCACTTGGACTGTTCACGACGTACCAGAAATGTTGTTGCATCTATTTCTTGATTCCTCTGAATTGAAACATTTTTAACTGCATGGAAATGAAGCAAAAAACCACCACCTCAGCTGCTTTAACAAAGCCTGCCTCTGTGAGTAAAGTTTTATCAGTTTGACTAAGAGCATCTTCAGGAAGTTGGTAAACTAATGCTAATTACAGTACTTGAAGACACTGCTTTTCTTTCAGGTCTTGCTGTTGGCATGACTAGCTGAACGCATGTTGGGCAGAGTGTTCGGAAGGTAAATGCATCTAAGGGCTTACAGTCTGGGTGGCACTTTCTAATTGCAGCGGGCACTTGAGTGAAAGGTTGTTGCTGGAGTAGCTGAGCTCCTTCTCTGAACAGCAAAAGAAGCACTAATAAAAGTAGATTTCTGAATCTTCTACTTGATCTAGAATATATAGTGTAACATAATTCAGGGTAAAATCCTTCACTTCCATGTACATTACATGGTTTAATACAAGTTAAACTATAATACAATTTATGCTATTTTTAAAGTATCTGACTAGATGTAATGCTCCTTTAGGATTTCAGCTCTTATTGAAGTACTTAGATTAGCGGGTATCTTACAAAGCAGCATTTTTTCCTTCCAGATTCCTTATTCTGAGGGCTGTGCTGCATTTTCCTGCTGGCTAATAGCCAATAGTTTGTACAGCCCTGTAAGGCGAAGGCTCATTAGCTGACCTTGGTACATTCAGTGCATAACTAGTTTAGGATTGCTCCTTGCTAAGAGCACTTTCATCTTTGCTTCAGTTGTTTTGCAATTATTTTGTGGTGTTGGTAAAATCTAAATAGCAAGCAGTGGTATAGAGCAGACTTCCAGGCCGGGAATCCTCTGTGATGGAGTAAGGCAGGAGAGCTATGGTAATACTGGAGTGGAGATGAAGCAGGTTTGAGATTCTGTATCTGACTGAAAGAAGGATCAAGGCAGGTAGGATGGTCTTGTGGATAAATGACAGCAGTGGGAGTGCCGAGAGCTGCTGTGTCTTCTCAGCCCTGCCACTGGCTTGTGGAGTGACTGAGTGTAAGTCGCCTCAGTTGCAAGGCAGATGTGGAACAGAGAGGATTCCTTGGAAAGGGCTTGCAAGGCTGAATTCCTTGTGCTCTGATGGAAGGGGTTGTGTCTGATTAGTAATATCCCCCCCCCAACCTACAGCAAGGCACAGTCAGCCAGAGCCATTATGACATGGATGGTTGCTTTCCTGCCCGCCTCTGAAGTATCAGTTCTTGGATACTTCACGAGGCAGAGTGCTGGAGTGGTTGGCCCCTCTCCATGGTAGAGCAGATCTCATTGCCCTGGAATGACACGGCTGTGCTTTTTTAGGAAAGGTCCCAAGTCATATAGTTAGATACAGTCCTGTCCCAGTTCACTGAGGCACCTGTACTCTCATCCTCACAATGATGATGTGAAATACAGAAGAGCCACAGCTTCCATGAACGGTCAGGTTTTGGGAGCAGAATCACTGGAAGTCGAGCAGTGGAAAGGAGACTGGGCTCATCCTGTAACTTTACTGGAGGCCATGACCTGCCATTACTCCACTGCTTTGCTTTTTAATATCAAGAAGAATTAGGCAATTGCAGGCTGCAAACCTTCTTCCTCCCCCCAAAATTGCCTTTTTTTCCTTCATGGGAATACTCACAGATCTGGAGCCGCTGACCAGGTCTGGCTGCTCCTAGATGGGTGTTTTCCAAAAATGTGTCTTACTATCTAAAGTTCTCTAACTGTTCTTGTTGACATTGTGCACAGAAGTACATTCTTGTTAAAGATCCATGAGCAGTGAATATATTCAGTGCCAAATCTCTGCACTTGCATAACTGTTGGGCACTTGCCTCTTGCTGTTAAAACTTAATGACAAAGCAGGGGCAATGGCATAAGAGTGCCGTGTGGGTAGTGATGCAGCAGTAAACGTGCGCTCAAGGACAGTGTTGAGGCTTCTGAGGTTCGGTGCAGTGCAGCAACTTGTGGACAAGGTGCCCTTTGCTTCCTCAACCAACCCCCCAAAAGAGTTTTCTGCAGAAACCAATTCCATGCATGAACCTCTGCTGAACACGCTCTCCTGTTTTAACCTTGGCTTTCCTTTTTGGTCAGGTGTATTGACAATACAAGACTGAAGAGTGAGGAAGATGTGTTCGCTAAATGCATGGCCCATTAGAGTGACTATGTACAAACCTGTTCAGCTCTGTGCTTGCCAGTGAAGCAATCTCTCGCTGTCTCTCTTTTTTCCTGTAGTGCAGTAAGCCTTTCTCCTGTGCCTTTTGACATAGCTAGTTTCCCACACTCCCTTCAAATAAGCTTCCCACTGACATAAGTTGTCCCTGAGTGCAAGGCCAAATGGCTCTGAAATTGCAAAGGGACAACTTGGCCCCTTGGCTTTGCTAGTTTATTCCCCGCTGGTGCCCTGTTATCTACTAGATAATCAGTCTTGTGGGTTTTCAAAGTTCCCTGCATTGTCACTGACTTTTATACTGTTTTGTTTAATGCCCAAGACTTGTGTTTTATTCCCACCCCCTTTTTACTATGCATTTTACTTTATCAGGTGTATCAAGTTTAAATACTGTGTATTTATCACTTTAAATTATATTAACTAACTAAAAAAGAAAAAAAAAACTCTAGGTGGTATTCCACAGCTGTTTAAGCTTCTCTGTACAAGTGGAAATAAATGGCTTGCAAAAGTAAACCCAGGGGTAGCTGGTTTATCACAAGCTTTTACCCTGCCAGGAGCAAGAGAGGAAGGGACTACAGGAACTGTGCAGCAGTGCTGACCAGATCGTTATCATTCTGCTAAAGGAGATGTACAGTTATCAGAGCTGGTGGCAGGAAGAGACCAACACGTTCTTGTCTGTAGGGCCAGCAGTGGTAGGAAGCATCAAAGAAGACCAGCTGCCAGGCTTCTGAGGCATTTGAGCTGATGGGTATGGATGGGGGACCCTGAATATGGACCAGGTCAGAATTTATTGTACAACTGAGCTAGATGCTGTGTTAGATCAGGCCACGACTGGTCTCTATGGCACTTGTTTCAAGACTGCAGTACCAGGAGGATCTTTCAGGAAGCTCTTTCTGCTGCCATGGTGTTTGGCCTTTCTCCATTCTGGCAGGTGGTGTTTGTGCCTCTGGTGCCAACAGGTTCTGGGTAGTGGGCAATAGCCTGGCACTGTGAAAACCTGAGGGCTGTAGAGCAGTGTTCAGTGCGGAGTGCAGCCCTTGAGACTGCCAATCAGCACTTGCACCTGTGTCCGCTAGCAGAGGTGTTTTGGGGCACATTGGACTCAGTACTTATCCCTGCACTGTGCCAGGAAGGGAGTGAAGAACAGAAGCAGGATGTAATTCATGGCACAGACAAAGCTTGTCTATCACAGCTTGGTGGAGGTACAAAGCCTGTCTTCGAGCATCAGGGATCCTCCCTCCAATCCCCTTGACCACAGGCTGGTTGACCTGACTGCAGGTGAACCTGGAATGCAGCAGATGTTCACAGCAGGGGCTGGAAGAGCCTGGAGTGGTTTGGCTTTGAACCAATTTCAGGTGGCTAGAACACAGTAGGGCTGCAAAGGGATGTCATCTGCAAGTACTAGGTCCAGCCTGTTGCCCCTGAAAGCTCCCCATAAGCCTGCACTAACCCATTAACTCTAGGCTCAGGGGCACTACTGGATTTGAGAAAAAAATCTGACATATTGCCTTTTACATACCCACAGTGCCAGCAGTCACCCTCAGGCCAGCTCACAGGGTGAGGCCTTGGCACATGACAGCCTGTAGCTTGGGCTGCTTCACTTCCCGATTCTCAAATTTTGTTTCCCTTAAAAAAGGAAGTTGGCAGCTTCTGGCAGACGCAGGGCTTGAGTGCAGCACAAGGCTCTGAGACGGGCAGTACCGACTCAGTCTTGGGCACTAACCTCTCCCAACAGCCAGGGACCCGTTTCCAGCTGCAGGATGTAAAGCCACTGACAAGGACAGCTGGAACGATTTTCCCCATCTACCCTAGCAGCAGGAGAAGGAGAGTGACTCCAACAGTGTTACCACCTGCTAGCAGCAGCACTGTAGAGAAAGCCTCAGCTGACAACAGGAATCCCACTGAGAGAAACTGGAGTGAAGGAGGAAGTTTGAAATGGTTTTATTCACTGTTTGGAGGACTAACTTACAGTAGAAAACAAAACCCAAGGCACTTGCTGAATGTATATCCATTGTGTGCTCTTGAAGGAGAGGCACATTACCGCCTTCCAGCATGGCTCAGAGCAGTTCTCACACAGCAATTCACAGCTTCAGATGCATTTCTGTCATTGCAACAACTGAATTTTAATAAATGGACCAGAAAGAGTGATCAGCCACTCAGTGCAGGGCCTCAGCTTCTGGGGCTGCTGGAGGTCTGACAGGGTGTCAGTGGGCCAGGGAGGATTAGCTGACTGACTTGCCCTCACCCAAAAGGAAAACAAGTATGGGACAGGAAGATGTGGCTCAGTGCTCTTCCAAAGTTAAAAGCAACACAGCATGGAGCTCACTCAATCCAAGGAATGTCTTTTCTGTGAGCAAGGCATTTTTCTGTATCCCTTCTTCCACTCGCAGGTAGCCTCACAGGAAGGCAACCAGCATTTCCCCTAGGTCACAGCCGAGGAGTGCCACCTGAAGTCGCCTTCCTCCTCCCGGGTCCCCCAGTGCTGCTGTGCCCTGCCCCTCAGCGTGCTCTGGGTCGAGATGAAGAGGAGATGAACTGGCACCTGGGGCATGGATACAGCTAGTAGTGTACTTAAATACTAGAAATGCACCAGACTTCTACGGGGGGCAAAAAAGACAAAATCCCACAGCCTGATCTTTGCTTTTGATACCATGAACAACTCCAAAACACCAGCAACTCCAAATTTCCCTTTGGCTTCTGCTGTGCTGCATCTGAGTAGTAAGAAAGTCTCTTGTTCCAAGGAGAGAATCTGCAGCATCTCTTCATTGTCCATATGTGAAGTGGGGCACTATTTGCAGCAGTGCTTCACATATAGCGGTTGATGCTGCAGCTCCATGGATGTCACGGCTGCGTCCCATAGGTAGAGTTGCCTCCCTTGAAGGACAGAAGTTCAGACATTAGATGCTACTCCCAGTGAAGTCCAGAAGCTAGTGCAGAGCAACTACAGCAAACCCACGTCCTCTCTGGAGCCCAGTACTGGAAACTTATGCCATGTACTTGGTCAGGCCAGACAGGAGATACCATCTTACCAGAGAGCTGCCCCACTGCTTTTGTTGCAAGAGTTCAACTCAAATCCTTGGCCTTTCCCACCACATCTTACAATTACAGGGCAGAATGTCTGCAGGGGGACAATAGGGCAGACAGCGAGGCAAGGGCCAGAGTCCTAGGAACCTTGTTAGAAAGTCAAGTGCCATGTCTACATCCCAGGGTAGTCTGATAGCAGCAGCCAAATTTGAGACCTCTCTGATCTGTCTGTCCCCAGCAGGAAGTGCCGATGGCTTTCAGTCATTCAAGCTCTGTTCTCCTCCAGTGCAAAGGAGCTGAGGCAAGAGACAAGAGAAGTGCCAGGGGTGCCAGGTGCAGCAGGGTGTCATTTCTTGTACATTTGCACTGCCCCCATGTCAGGAACAAGATCACGCCTCTTGGCACATGCCACCTTTGTTCCTATCTGTTCCTTCCTCTGCAGAACGTACCTGCCACAAACCACCATGCAAGACTCCATGTGTACAATCTGCACTGTGCTAACTTGAGGCCTTGAGCTTCAGCTAAAGTCACCTCCACAGTCTTGGAGGAAGGCAAGTTTGGCCACACGCACAAAAAAAAAGTGCACCTTCTACCATGTGCTGAGGGAGCCAGGCTGCTTACCAGTTCATAGTCCTCCACATATTTGTACTTCTTCTCTCTGTAGAAATGTCTTCTCTTCATAAAATACAGGACAATGATGTCACACAGGACTGTTGCCTACGGAAGATCAAAAAGAGACAGCTGAAGGCCCTGTACTTCCAAGTGAACAGATACCAAGACAGATGCCAGTCTTCAGGTAGACGCTAGAACTTACCACTCCCAGCAGTGCCAAACCAGAGCCAATGTTAATCATTGTAGGGATGATGTCAAATTTTCCTGCCTGAGAGAGAAAGTTACAAGTGAGAATGCTTTTGCTGGACCTGTTGCAGCGCACCAAAGCCCTGGGATTTCAAATGGAGAGAGGTACCTTTCCAAACACCATGACATCAAAGCGGATGCCATATGCCTTGATGAGGGTCCGTGCCTCGAGGCCGCTTGTGTCTCTGTAGTACTTTGCAAATCTGCAGAGCAAATTGGTTCAGAAGCTGTGTGGAGATTACCATCTAGAGCCTCACAATATCCAAGCCTGTTGCCAGCCCAGCATACCCCAACCCAGGTTGAAAATTGGTTTCTCACTGAGAAGACGAAGAGACAGACAAGTTTCATTTAGCTATGTGCTTACAGACAGTGTGGTCAGAGATTATGCACAACACACAGTCTGCACCAAGGGCCCTACAGAAGTTGTCTAGCCACTAGCAGAGTTTGAGCCAGTTTCTAAAGCACATGAAAGGGGAGGTGGGGAAAACCCAGAAGTCCCAGTTAGTCCCTCCTGCTTGGCCTAACTTCACCAGCAAAAAGACCTTTATTACTGTCCTGAACCTGTTTGTCCTGCAGAGCAGGTCAGACCCCTGGTTTTGCTCCCCCTGAAGGGAATTTAGTGATAAAGTCAGTGGGATTTTAGCCAAGGTTTCTAGCAAAGCTCTGCCAGGCTAAGCAGTCTGCTGGGAGTGGAGAGAAATCTGCAGGCATGAGATTTGCCACCAGAGGGAGCAGCCAGGGATGCAATGAACATGGCTGCGGTAGTCACTCCAAAAGCAGCATTTGGTAGGCACACAGAGGGCATCCCAGTCCTTTGTTCAGTTCAGCACATGCATGCACGTACTTTACAGGGAAGCAGAGGCGATGCAAGCAAACTTACTGTATCCCACGATCTGCAGGGTCAAGAGGAAACCGCAGAAAGGATGGAAGAGAAGAGAGCGCTGTTGGGCTGAATGGTTCTTCCGTAACAAGCATGTGCATTTAAGCGTCATGGATCACTCAGCACTTGCTAAGTTTACCAGGTGGTTGCACCAGCCTGTTTGATCAGAGCAGGCTGGTCCAGTACATTTTTTTTCAAGGCCTGATTATTGTCTACACCTGCTTCTTGGCTCCTGCTGAAGAAATTTCGCCTGCCAGCTTGCCGTAGCAGAGCAGCCTCCCCCAATATACTCACAGCCAAGCACTCTGCAGGCATCTCATTCAAACCCAAAAGATTTTCCTCCCTTCTGATGGTGCCCTAGTCCTTGGCCACTAGTGTGACACTGCCTGAGAATTCAAGCTCTCCAAAACACCCTCTGCATGAGCATAACAGTTTTGCTCTCTTACTTATGGAGAAGGCCCCAAGCAATGCAAAGGCAATGTTGCTACAGCACCAACACACCCCAGAAGCAAAATTAGTTCAACCAGCACAGGCACAGCAGTCTACCATAGATCTGGCTGGATATGGACAACTCCGTGCACAGCTGAAGGATTCTGTCGGTCTGGTCAACTACTTCTCCTTCCACCCCTGTGCACACTAGAAGAATTCCCCCTTCTCCCAAATTCTCTCACTCCGTTTGTGTGGGTCTGGGAACTCCAGTTCCTGCCAGAGTAGCCTGGGCTGATGCCCCAGACATGTAGGCTGCACTATTACAGACAGGATTCAGTATCACATGGGGCAGTTGATCTGGCTCAGCTATGGAGGTTGGTGCAGCTCTGTTTATACTAACTGTTCCACTGGGGGGAAAGTGGAATATTCCCAGTAGCCAGACCAGCAAGCCTCAGCCAGGGTGTCACCGCGGGAGAGAGAATCTGCTCCTCCTTCCTACCCGCTCTGCAAGCAGGTGAGCACTGTAATATATTAGCTGCTGCAATGGAGCATGGCTGGAGGCACCCTGTAGAACTGCTGTGAATTAAGGCTAAAGTTGAGAGTTGCTGAACTAGACCCTACTGGCCAGGCACCATCTGAGCCAGGCCAGCATCATAGAACTGGGAGCCCAGAACAAGCTACCATGATGTCCTGGCCTCCATTACCTGAAGTTGTAGCCTGGGGAGACGGTGTATCTGGAATCCTTGTTGTCAAGGCGACGGAAGCTGTATTTCGGCACACAGAGAGAAGCTGCTTTGTCAAGGTCGCAATTCCACTTGATCTGCAGCCCCATAACTCCACCCTGCAGAGCCCAGAGGGAGGAGATCAGACAGGACTGCTTAAAGCTCTGGCCAGGCAGCCAAAGGGCCTCCCTGATGCTGGCCAGGCCACTGGTTTGCAAACTGGATTCGTGCCCTCAGTGTGAGCACATCGCCATTCACCTCTGCCTCGCTGTAGCTTCCCCACCAAAGACGCCAGCTTCAGTGCCAGTGAGGAGCTTCTCACCCCCGACCTGGCTGTCTCTGCCTAGCATGGCAAAGCATCAGCTCGTCCCAAATGATCAGCAACCCAGGACCCACTACGAGAACCAACCTAAACCCTGCTGCTCTTTCCCAGACTACACAAGCCATTGGAGCCCTGTCACAAACCCTTGCCCTGGGTGGTAAGAGGCATAGTGCTGTGGGCTGGGCTTCACTCCTGCTGCTGCATGGCACCTTCCTGCACCAGCTCCCTCATGAGAAGCATGCAGGGTACAGAAGCAGCATGGTTAAGTATTTGCCAAGTCAAGTTTACACCTCCCCAGAGCCAGTACACCTGTAGCAGCAGCTGTATTGTGTATTCTGTGGCTGCCTGCATGCAGCAAGCGAGTTCAAGTGCCTGCCTCCCCGTCGAGTAGGGTCTCATCAAGCAAGGGGCCCAACACCCACCTCCACAGCCATCTCCTGGAAGTTCTGCCCTGCAGCCTCCATTATTTTTTGGATCCGGAATATTGGGCAGAAGGGATCCGTCTGAGGGTCATAGATACAGCGCTTCAGGTACGTGGAATTGATACTAGGGAGAATATTTCGCCTGGAGGAGCAGAAGACGACAGCACTGGGTTAGAGGCATCTGCACCTCATCTTTCCTGCCCCATGGCTTATGGGCAGCAGAGAATTAGCCCAGTCCATCTACTTAATACCCTCATGCAATACTTACTTGGCAAAGTCAAACTTGGGATACCAGATGTTGTTCTTCACTAAAATGGTGAAGTTCTCAGCATCCTTTAGGAAAGCTGGCCTACAAAACAACGGAGAGGCTGAGTACAGTGGCTTCCACTTCTATACAGCATCTTGATATCATCTCAAAGTGCTTTACAAAGACAGTCATGCAAAATCCTTATATGGAAAAAGAAGTTGCATGCTTCTTAGTGACACAGACAGCTCTTATGACAATGCATAATGATATATGCCTACATGGAGCAAAGCTCCAAAGCAGCAGCATTAGGAAGCAGGTATCAGGAGCTGGACTCACTCCCAGTTAACTTTGGTAAGTGCTAGAACAGCTGCATCTAGCCCTCTGTTGTGGCAGGGTAGGGCATGCTTTGCTAGGAAGTGCGCGATAGACCATGTACAGCCCAGATCTGGAGAGTGGTCAGCATGCAGCTGTGGCCTACTGGGCTGGGAGTAAGCTTCCCACATTACCACTAACATGGATGCAGCCCCTGTTGCTGTCCTGTAGATTATACCATCCCCACAGCCATGCACATGGCACTGAAGGAAAGCGGTGCCTACTTGAGAGCTCTCTAGAGGAGGCAAGAAATGTTTCCTCCCCCACCCCTCCTTCACCACCTCCCTTTTGGTTCCCGTTTACAAATCAGCACCACCAGTACAGTCAAGACCCTCTTTCTTGAGCCCTCCCAGCTAGTCCATGCATCAACAGTCAGCATCTCATGGAGACCTCCCCTCCTCCTTGCGATTGTCCACATCACCAACTCTACCCTCAGGGCAGGGACACCAATCCTGTGGCAGTCAAACAGCAGTCACCTGGGTACATTCATATCATCCTCCACGGGACACCACGCATAGATCTCACAGGTTTTGATGGAGCCATTGTACTTAACACAGTTCCCAGTCTGGACTCCTGGAAGGACAGGAGAAGGAAGATACTCGCTGTGTATCCAAAGCAAAGTGGCAAGAGCTTTGCATCCTTCTGCAAGGCTCTTGCAGGGACAAGCAGCCCAGCCTAGGTGTAGGGCAGAGGGCAGCAAGAGTCCCCCTCTGATGTTAGCTAAGGTGGCACAGTGGGGCCAGTGTTAGTCCTCCCCTACAAAATCTACAGGAAGACAAGCAGGAAGACTGGCAGTGCCTGAAGTCCAGCAACAGATTGGAGTTCTTCTAACTGGGAAACCATAGGGATAAAGACAACATTGGGGTAACTGCCAAAGATTCCTCAGCCCCCTGCCAGTATGAGAGGTCTGGTCACTTATGTGCCATTTTCCTCCCCTTAAACCATCGGACAGGAGGTCCATTAGAAACCTTCCAGCATCACACTGCTTACAGATTGGAGGGAGGCTGGACCGCTCCATCTACGCAGTGCTTCATCGCCATCCAGATTCCCTTCTGAAGAGGAAGGCCAAGCAGGAGCCCCATCGGGAATAGAGGACAGGTCTGCACTGCCAGTGTCATCTAGTTCAAGATGGGTGTGTTTCACCTTTGGGCAGGGTGCAGGCCTCCCATGTGCTGGACAGCAGAGTCTTTTGGTCAGCAGTGCTTGTTCAGGCCACAAATCACAGCCAAAGTGTCACTCCACCCTTCACGGGGTGTGAGGACTCAACAGCAGTGCCAGCCATCTCTACATCTTGCAGCATCTCTCTAGCTAGTGCTTGATTCCTCTTTGCATTAGGGTGTGAGGACACTCAGGCATATGCATGCTTCCAGTGATCACTGCTGGCCAGATGCTGCTGCCAAGCATATCAAACATTGTGGGCTGCTTGAATGACTCTGTTTCCTGCAAGGTAACTAGCTTTGCAGGTACATCGCTCTATATGTCTTGTTGTCTATGCTGTATCTACTTTGCCACAGCAGAGAGTTTAACCCTTTGAGCTCCCTTTGAAAGAGCACAGGTCTTCTTCTTGAAGGGTGTACTTTGCAAAGCAAGAGCGGCAGTAACTTGATGAAACCATGTTCCTATTCTACTGGAAACATGACCCACACTGAAGAAAAGGGAAGTGTAGGTCATTTCCTACCGTTGCTATGAGTGCCTGCATATCCTGCATGGCAGTCCCCTTCAGACTTGCACACAGTCGTCTTATCTGGAAGCTAGAGAGGAAGAGCTGTTACTATAACGCCACGCAATTCTGCGTGCTCTCTATGCACATAGCCACGAGTTACTCCACCCAGCTATTAGACTCTTCCAGGCCAAACAGGCTGGAAGGAACCTCAGGTGGTCAACTAGTTCAGCCCCTGCTCAAAGCAGGATCATCCCCATCTAAACCATCCCAGACAAAAGCCTGGACATGCTTGGATGTAGGGCAGACAATAAGAGCGGTTCAAGAAGCTCTTTAGCTAATCTATTCCAGTGCCCACTGACACACCCTCCTCATTACCACAGCACTCTGTTCCCCATTTTGCATACGTATCCTTGATTCTGTCCCGTGTGCTTTGCACATGTCCTTACTGGATTTCATCCAGTCTATTTCAGACCATTTGTTTCAGTTCCTCAAGATACATTTTACATCCTCAATTCTATCCTCCAAAATCACTGCCACCCTGTGAGACCCTTAACCCTATTCTTGGAGGGGGAGGCAACATAAGAAATTGGAAAGTGGGTACCGTGCATTTAAAGTCGGCTTACTTGGAGGCTGGGATGTGTACAGCAACACCTGAGGACGCATAAGCCCAGCTCCAGGGCAGAGCAGCTCGTCAGGCTGTGGCAGTACAGAGGAGAGGAGAGCGGCAGAGGCTATGCTACAAAACAGCAAGCAGGCAGGCAGGGCTGTAGCTGGGAAAGCCTGCTGGGATTTGAATAGAGGCCCGTGGGGGACGGGGGCTCTGGGGAAAGGCCCCGGCTGAAGTGGATCATGTTTGGGTTTGCACTGCTTCCAACAAGGGTGACATCCAGGTGTAGGAGTCCTGCCACAGGCATGAGGCAGCTGAGAGCACCGGGGGAGCGCAGTGTCTGTTTATGGGCTGGAGAACCCTGCCGAGTGGAGGAGGGGGCACAAAGTGATAAGCCCAAGGGTATGATTGGGTGGATAAGACTGAGAATGGCTTGAGAGAGGTCCAGCAGCACTGTCACTCCACAGGGGTGGCCCAGCGGTATGAATAATGAATGGGACACCCAAGATTGGTACCTGACTGAACTGAGGGCCTGTTCTCACGTATTTGATAACAGCAAGATGCGGCAGGTGGGAGCAGCCAGGACGTCAGGAGGACAAACATGTAAAAAAAAACAACTGCCAGGAGGTGACACACCCTTCCCAGGCATGGCAGGCCCTGCTACACACCCCACCCAGACGGATGTCATCTGCCAATTTGACATCACTGTCAGGGCAGCTAGGATCTGGATCCAACTTCCAAGAGAAGTGGTGCTGGCTCTTACCCTGGGGGCTTTAAGACAAGGCTAGACAATCACCTTGCTTGGGGTCATTTGACCCCAGTACTCTTTCCTGCCATGGCAGGGGGTCGGACTTGATGATCTGCTCAGGTCCCTTCTGACCCGACCAACTATGAAACTATGAATTTATTAGCATAGACTCAATTCCACCTTTCAAGTCAATGAAGAGCCTGAACTGTACTAGACCCAGGACAGGCCTTGGGGAAATTTGTTCAATGTCTCTTCCCAGGTAGTCCCCAACCACTGCCCTTTGACAAGAGTTACACACCCGCACCAAAACCATTAGCGATGAGGCTGACCGAGATTGTACCTACCTCGGGACAGGAACCTTGCGTTTGGTTCAGTGTCATGATCATGTTTGTCATGATGAAGACGGTGTTCTCTTCCTGCACATACAAGGCAAGCAGCGAGATGCAAGAGTGAGAGGAGAATGACACTCTGGGAAACAAGCAGAGAGCTCCATTTTGGGCAGAAGGGATGTGCCACTTCTGAAGGCCCTTTCCCTTCAGCCAAGCCCCTGGGATATCAGTCCTTCCGGCCTCCGTTTCAGTACAAGACTGCATGCATAGCAGGAAAGTGGAGACCTTGTACCAGACCAACACCTGTGGTAAGGCTCCTGGAGAAACCCCCAGAGAAGACCCTCCCTACCAATGTGCTCACCCCCATAAGGCGAGCACGCTAGTAGGGAGGGAAAGACTGCAGCAAGACCTGGATAGGTTACAGGGGTGGGCTAACAAAAACAGGATGTGTTTCAATACTGACAAGTGCAGGGTGCTGCACTTGGGCAGTAGAAACCAGCAGCACACTTATAAGATGGGAAACTCCCTTCTTGAGAGCACGGAGGCAGAAAGGGATCTGGGAGTCATTACTGACTCCAAGGTGAACATGGGCCGACAACGCGAGGTCACGGTTGGCAGGGCTAACCGGACCTTGTCGTGCATCCACAGGTGCATCTCAAGTAGAGCCAAGGAGGTGATCCTCCCCCTCTATGCGACACTGGTCAGGCCA